TCTGATGTCCGCAGAGAACTGAATGTACACTGAGAAATAAATAATTACTGTGGCAACAGACCTAACTTGTGAGTTTAGGATTGAGGCAAATTGTTGAGAAGTCGGGAAAATTATGTTCCCCTTTTTGCATTTGTGTGACAAATAAAGCAAGGAATTTGTTTCCATTCTAACAATCTGATGCTGTCATACAATTAAGGACCCTACGAAGATATTTGGGACAAAAAGAATAGTCTAGCATTTATCAGAAGAAAAAATTACCATATTTTTTACCATTTAGGCAGCACTAAGCCAGCACTGAACAGACTAATAAAACCTTGAACATTTAATAAATACAATTGTGAAATTAAGAACATACACTAACTGTGTGTATGAAAATATAAATCAAAATATTTCTCACGTGTTATGTTTATTTAGAGTAAATTCAAACTGTAGATATTCTAAAAAAGCATGGTGATTTGGATCCTTAATGTTAAGAAAATAGTTCAGGTCTTCAATATTTTAATCTCTTTTTTGTTCCAGAGCTTGTACTTGCAGATGATCCACCTATTATTTATAGCAGCTATGACAGGCCCTGCCAGTAGGAAGATCTTTATTCCTGCACATGAGAATATAGAATACACTCCTTTCTGAACTGGGTAGGATTGCTCATAGTGTTGCTACAAGGGAGCACCAATTTTTCTCAGTGTTGTGAAAAACCAACATCACTACCATGCTGGGAAGAAGAAGCAATCATTCAGATTTTTCAGCTGGTCACTGGCAGTGATAGCACTTTTGTCTTGGGCTTATTTCCAGCTAGCATCTCTAATTCTTTTTGGAAATAAGACTTCACAGCTGCACCAGCAACACTGGTACTGGTTCCATTATAATAAATACACAATTTCCCAGTTTTATATTCTGTCTGCAGATCTCTTCTTCCTACTTGGGAAGTAGGCACACAGACTTTGACTGGGTTTTTAAGAGATTAGCCAATATATAAAAAAATATAAAGACAAGATATTAAAAAATTCTGTATTAATTTTCTTGCCTAGCAAATAGACTTTGTGTAAGAAAATGTTTTTCAGATTTTCTCAGAAATTTTACACAGGAATAATCCAAGTGACTTTCTAATCAGTTTTGTATGCAGTGAACGAGTATAATGGATAATTAGAGAAGTAAGCCTAGTGAGAATGACATTATTGGGTTTTTTTTTACCTAGCCAGGGTTCTGAACTAGCATTGCAGGGAAGAGAGCTTGCTAATCATTTCAAGACTGAGGGAACTCCAGTTATGATTGGTAAGTGCTTGAGTGTTGAAGAATGCTAATGAAAGTGCATGGCCTCCCTGTGCTGAATTTCATTTCAATTAGAACCCATTTAATTTACTGTACAAGAGTTAATCAAAACTGTAGATGAATTAAAAATTACAGTTTTCCCAAGATAGCCTCAAAAATTACACAGTTTAGTCTGGTTGGTATCTTTTTATTCAGTATTTCTTTCAAGGTAAGTATTAAACATGGTAACAAAAGTCTGTTTAAAGGGTGTTTTTATAAATTGCTATGACACCAGAACTTGAGCTGACTTCCATTCTCTACAGGAGCAGAAGTTCACAGAGTTCCCCAAAACTTCCCCTCAGAGAAGAGTACTGTTAATCTGGTTTGGATGAGAAGGGTATTATCCAAATTTGTTTTAAGACCAGTTTTAATAATCTGAAGTATTGGTATGATAAGAAGTGCCATTTGTAAAAATCCTGTGACATTAATTGAACTATTATTTTCATGCTTTGAGCACTTGGTCTAGTGGGACGTCCCCTCCCCATGGCAGGGGGTTCAGAACTAGGTGATACTTCAAGTCCCTTACAAGCCAAACCATTCTATGATTCTATTAAATATTCTTGGCCTTTCAGCAGCATTTTTGTCTGAATTTCAAGAATGCAGAATCCTATATTGAAAAATCTTTTAGTCTGTAACTTATCCTTCCCTGTAATGCTGTCTTATAGGTTGGTTTAATTTTTGTCGTCATTGGAGGGCTGGAGATGGGCTTTTTGAGGGTGGGGTTTGGGGATTGTTTTTGCTTGGATTCTTCCAGGGATTTTGCAATCCCTACATGCTGTATAGAGTTATTACAACAATATTGCAGGGATGTAAAGTATTGCATGTTGTCTGAAAGAAACATGCAAGAGTTGACCTGTGCCCATCTCATCAAAATATCCTCTTTTCCTCTTGGCAGGCTGGGGAAAGGGAATTCAAAATTTACTATTCTTCCCCTAATATTCATTGATGTAACTTAGTAGGAAACAGCAGATAAACCTCATCCAGGAATTCTGATTTCTCTTCTAATTTTAGTCCTTTTACCACCAAGAAATCTTTCAGATTTCTTTCCTACAGTTAGATTTCTTTGAAGAAAAAGTGCAAAAGGGATGTTTGAAATATTCTTGACTTCATCTGGTGGAAGTGTTGAGGATTTCACCTGCCTTGCTGACTTGAAAGAAAGTTTGAGAATACATTCTCTACTTATTTTAGTTACTACAACTAACTTTTCTTAGATGTAGTAGATATGTTGTTTAATAATGTGAAGAATTGTATCTCAGACTATCAAAATCATCTTGATGTAAGCTAATCTGTTAATAGAAGGTATTGATGTACTTTTATTTAACCCTTGCACATTAAATAAATCCCAATGAAAAAAAAGTCAGCAATCTGTGTTTCTCCTATTTTAGGTGGAGGTGTTTTGGCTCACACAATATTAGGAGTTGCTTGGAATGAGACTACAGGACACATAAAATACTTAATTCTAGATCCACATTACACTGGAGGAGAAGATCTGCATGTTATTTTGGAAAAGGTGAGGCTCGATGCACATGTGTACGCACACGTTTATGTATAAACATGTATTTTGGCATTAAATAAATAATGTCTAGCCAAATACAAACTGGCCATTCTATGGCTTCTTCATTCCTTATGGAAGAAGCACTGACCCCAGTTAACCTGCATACTGCAATATGCTAAGTATTATCAGTTTCTGAAACTTAATGTCTTTGGAGATGTATCAGATCAGCAACTACATCAAATGATTATACTATAAAGCAATGTTCTTTATTTTATATTAATTCACCCATCTCCCCTTTTACCCAGGGGTATATATGATGTGGTTTGTATTTTGAATAAAACAGAAAATTCTGTTCAGGCTGTAAAATGCTCTAAATGAAGCAGAGAAGATAATTTATTTTAAATTTAAAAAAATTTAAAAATCCAACACTAACCATTCTCAGATCAGGCCTTCAGAGGGTAGGTACTGAATTATTTTGAACATGTGGAAAAACTCTAAAGCGCTCAAGAGTGTATAATGTCATTTCCACGTTTAAAGCCACTAAAAGGGATGATGCAGCACATTACAAACCAGTAAATATCGTGTCAGAAATGTAAACTCTTAAAGTGGCTAAATCATCCTGTAAGTGCTAGGTAATCAATGTCTTTTCTGTTTTTTCATATTAAGTTGCAAATAGTAACTTTTATTTCTAATCTTTGATACCCTTGTGTAGGCCCAACAAAAACCCAACCAAACTAACAAAAAACCAACAAACAAACAAAAACCACAAAAAAAACCACAACAACTAACCAAAAAAAGAGCTGTTTAAGAAACATTTTGCTGGCCTATAATGATCAAAGTTTGAAATGAACACAGGAAGAAGCAGTTTCCAAAGAACGTGTAGAACCAAAGGCTGTTACAGCTACTAGCAGTTAAGAAGGTTCAGTGGTCCAGGAGGATAAAATAAATGCAGAACCCACTTTCCTCATCAAGAGTGACTAGGGAGGACCTAAGGCTGACTGTGTGTAGCTCTTTTCTTCAAAACCACCCCCAGTAATAATGTGGCACTCTGCAAACTTAAAAGCTTTTGTTAGACTGTTTCCTTCTGCTGAATCAGATTGAGCAGCACAATTTCTGGTATTAGGAGCTCTGTTTGGGGCCGAAATATCAATTATTACCAAAGAAGACAAGGATTCAGGATAAGAAAGGGAAACTGTGAGAATGATGGCGTTTCAGAATAACATTAGCCTCTCAGGAGCAGCAGAAGGTAGTGGGGAGGCGGGGATGGGGAGAAGATGATACTTTTTAAGAACTAAGCTGGTGAGGGAGGAAGGAGAATCTTTGTAATGTGTTTTCCATTAATGTATTTCCAGGCATGTAGAGAACTTTCTGAAAATTGTCATTGCATTCTATAGACATTTGAAAATAATTCATATATCTTAGATTCGCATGATTAGTAAAAGAAGAATAGGGTCAGTAGTAGTATATAGGAAAAACAGAATTTGAAATAGATTTAAAAGCTATCTTGCTTTTCCTTGGACAGGGCTGGTGTGGATGGAAGGGCCCGGAGTTTTGGAACAAGGACGCCTATTATAATCTGTGCCTACCTCAACGACCAAAAGCTATTTAAATTCACTCTTGTGCTGAATGCGCTGAGAATGAATAGCAGCTAATCTAGATAAAACTGTCCTGTTATTTATCAAAATAATGCTTTAAGTCAATCAAAACCCTGTTGAAATAGAAATGTTGGTTGAATGACTTAAATTAAGATATTAATTTTTTTAATGAAACCTCTAGAAATAAGAATTACCTGCTTTTAACTGTATTCCTTACAAAGGCATTTATTATGCAATGAACACTCTGTACTTTTCCATAGCAGAACTCTAGGTTTATATAGTATTTTCTCTTCTGCTAGAATATATTTCTAGATTAAATGCTAAATCCTATTGTTTTATGGAATTCTTTCATGACAAAAACGATAAACTGTCGTCTGCTTTTCAAGTTTGTTAGCCAGCTGTCTTGTCCATTATGAATCTGTTCAAAGGCCTTGTTTGTTGCTGGTATTCTTGATTATGCATTTCAGGAGTGGGAAAAGAATGGCTATATTTACTGAATTTTATTAATTTTGCTCATATTTACACAGAAAAAAAAAAGCAAGATAATTAATTTTTCCATGCTCATTTATTTATAGCTGAATGAATACAAGTATTCCAGGGGGAAAAAAACCTCACAACATTCTTCTGTAAGAAGTAACAATAAACAAGCTTTCCTCCTTCTCAGAAGGAGACAATGTCCCAGCACACACATCTGACTGCTCAGTGTATCATCCAGTCATCGTTCTTCTGACTTCAGATTCCCCTTATGTCATATTGGGATTACAAGCTGTTTCTTCTAGCAGCTAGGAGACAAGATCTGTCATAGAAACAAACAAAGTAAGTCTGGAGCTACTTTATCAGTACATCAGTAAGAGTACCTATGATTTTTATCTATTAAAGTAGCCTCTTAAGTGGCATTCCACATGTACTGTCCATTTCCATGAAGGCCCTAACCTTAAGTACCTATGCAAGTTCATCCTTAATAGGAGGCTTCTAAATCTAACTGCTCTGTGTCCAATACACATTTGTTTTACTTGGATGCTAAAAACATTTCCAAAAATATCCTAAATTGTATTAAACCAATACTATTACACACCATCTGATCTTCTCCTCTTTCTGTTTATGGATCTGCTGGTTTCACTTTCTTGTTTCTGTGCAGTTGGATCCTCCCTCTGCAGGCCGTGTCTGTCAGTTAGCGAGTATCCAGATTGTCCTCTCAGTTTCATTGTCTGAGTGTGCTCAATTGTCCTGAGGAACTTGGCACATTCCAGAAAGCCATAATCCAGTGCAAGGTCTGCTGCTGTCTGTCCACTGTTGTTGCACAAGCTGAAATACAGAATTAACAATAACCAATTAAACTGGAAGAATGAACGAGCACTGATTAAGTGGTAATTTACGCTGGTGCATAAAAATAAGTACCGAGAATCGATACCAAGAAGGTTTGTCAAGGATAGCCTAGGGCTCATAGAGGGGGCTGGTATTAAATACAAAAAGGAGTAATTATTTTAAAATAAATTTGTCATCAAACAGTTACTGGCTTAGCATATCAGAAAGGCAAGAAGAGGATAAGATTATGATCAGGAATATTCTCTCAGCAGTTACCACAGAGGTATATAGCTAAACAATAGCATGTGAGCATGTGGTCTGTGTTCCTTTGGTGTTTATGCCAGTTTTTAATATTGCTGTGGCTATAGTCATGCTGTATTTGCAGCCTGAGCACGTGTGCTCTGAGCAAGTTAAATGTACTCTGTAAAATGCACATCCTTTGACACGCTTACTGAAGTTACTAAATGTCGCTGAACTTACTCAATTTTAGCATCACCAGCAACAAGGAGGGCAAGGCATTCCAAACTCCCAACTTTTGCTGCTTTATGTATCGGTGCTTCTCCAAGGCAATCCTAAAAACACAGTTTATATATAACAGTCATTTGCAAGAAGAGGAGTAGGATAAAGCTGTCTTGTTCTCCAAAATGACTGTTTATGTATACCAGCCTGTTTTGAGTTGAGATTAAAGGAATATAGCTCGTAAAGTGTACTAGGTAACTACCATTAAATGTCTAATGTATTCATCACCATAAAGTCAAGTGCAGTAGTCATTGTTTAACCTTTGCCTTCTAAAAGATATATTAAACAGAATACACGGATTAACAGCATCTCTTAGTACCATTCAGGGATTGCTGTGACCAATAGCTTCTACCAGCTCAGAGGTATAAGGAATTAAACTAAGCAACTCGAGTAAGAATCCTTACATTTACTGGAAGTAGAGACAAACATTTGGAGGAAAAATAAATGCTCAGTTGTGTAAAAGAATTAAGTTGCTTGGACATCTGCATGCAGCACTCTTAAGTGTGAAAATTAAATTATGCTGTGCAAGTGAAGTTGCTAATGCAATATAGATAAGATTTCTGGTTCATGCTAGAAGTTACTCTAGAATAAGCAATCCCAGATATCTCATGCAATACAACTGAGTATAAAAAACCCTCTCTTACATAAAAATAATATTAAGTGGATTTACTGACATGTCAATTAGAAGTGGAAGCAATAAAATATATGTGTTTTTTACCTGTTGGTTCAAATTTGCTCCTGTCTGCAATTGCCAAAGTAGGAAAAAAGCTTCACCACCACAAGCAGCCAAGTGAGCTGGAGACTGACCAGAAGCATCTGCAGGTGCATTCACACCGGTTCCTGTCTCAAATAGGTTGCTGAAACTACCGGACTGAAACGAGATATCAAAAGAAAAAAATAAATGTTACTGCCAGTGTAAGCCACGGCAGGTCTCAGAACGCTGCATCACAGCAGAAAGCATTCCTCTTGCAAATCATGTTCCTTGAGACTGCCTTTTAATTATTTTTTTTTAAGAGCAGTGGAAGAAAGACTTTTTTGGCTTTTAATCTCTTAACCAGAAATACCGATCGACAGCGGCAGTGCCCCAACATTAGTAACAGCAGCAGCTCCAGGCAAACTACACCTCATTCACTTCCGCAGCTAGGCTGCCGGTAAGACAGAACCCCAGAGAGACCCTCCCAAACCTCACCTCTGAATTGCAGTCCAGCATCAGCATCGCTGCCCTTTGCGGGGCTGGGGCCGAGGCGCGGGTCCGTCCGTGCCCCGTCCCAGGCCGGCAGCGAGCGCCGGGCCCGCAGCCCCGCCCCCCCGGCCGCGCGCCGCACGTAGGCAGCGGCGGCCGCCGCCCATTGGCCGCGCCGGAGGCGCCGCGGGGCCGCGGCCGGGCCGGGGCCGGGGCCGGGGCGCGGGGCTGGCGGCGGGGGCGGCCATGTGGTGCCGGGCCGCTCGGCACGTCCCGCACACACTGGGGGAGCCGCGGCAGCGCCCCCCGGAGCCCCGGGCAGCCCGGCACCGGCTGCTGCACCGGCCGGGAGCGGGCGTCGCTGGAAGCCCCGCTGCCGCCGTCAGCTGAGAGCCACCGAGCCCTGAGCGCGGCCTGGTGTTCGCTTGGTTGCGCTGCTGCCAGGCGCAGCCTCCATAGTGGTTCTGCCAGCGGACCTTAACGCTGGTTTGGGAAGGCTAGACCAAAGCACACTTGGATCTAGGAAAGAAAACAATTACGAATCAATTTAGATTTCCTCCCCCCCCAAAAAAAAAGGTTAAGTCAATAAAAAATCTGTACCAGCGTCCTGCCCAAGCTCTGTCACAAGGCCAGGGAGGCTGGCCAGACATGCCGTGCTGTGAAACCCAGCTCTCCCCTTCAGCGCAGACATTGCAGCAAGTTATCACTAGTTTGAACAGGACTAGAATTGGCAATGGTGGGTCTAGGCACAGCCACCTGTTAATCTCTGCTCAAAACACATTTCCAAAAGCAGAACTTTGATTGTCACCTACATGAGCTTGAAGTATCTCAGAGAGGGTGAGTGTCCGAGATGCACAATTCTGTTCCTTTAGCATTATAGTATTTCCTTCTGTGTCAAATACCTACAACTTTGTTATGGAAGTTTCTCATAATCACTACTGTAAAATAATTGAAAGTCACAGATTTAAAAAACAAATAATAATGGCATGGTTTTAATAAACAGAGATAGGGAAAAAGAAGCTTAACAGTGTTCCCTTAGGGCATACATAGTTCTGAAATTAATTCACAAACATGATGAAATTACCTTCTGCTTCTCCTTTAGGAAAGCTAATATAAATTCTTTTAGTGGAATATGAGCACATACAGTACAAATTTAAAGGTGCAGAAATCCAGGTAGATAGGCTGTGATCAGTTCAGCAGAATTATTCCAGTAAGTGACAGTTTTCACCTCTCTTTTATATGGCAAGAACTACACTTGTGTAATTACCAAATGTTGTATTGAGTTTTTCCCTGAACAGCTAGCCAAGCAAATTAGTTAACAAACCAATAAAATTCCTACACTTCTAACTATGCTTTGTTAGGAATTAAATACCTCTGCACAGATGCCAGAAATCCACAGTCATTGTTTATGCAACTTTAAAGACTCTTTTGAAAACACACATTTCCAGAATTAGCTTACAACTAAATAGTTTTGCATTGCCCAAGAGGTTGTGTTTTGGTTTTTTGTTTTTGTTTTAAATATCTGCCCTCCCTACATTACCTCAGCAATTCAGAGGTTTCAAGCTGCACCCGAGGAATCTCATCTTTCCAGCCTAGGCACCTACACACACATCTGCATCAGACCAGCCAAAACTCTCTTCAAATTCCTGCTGTTAATTAGTTCTTGACCTTCAGGTCACATTTTGCACACCTCATTAGTGCCTGCAAAACTCTTCTGCTTTTGAATAACTGGTACTTGTACTGGTGTAAACACAAAAGCAACAGTTCTCATCTGTTTTGTATGGGGCAGCCCCAAGTGCCAGTTAAGGACAAAGCTTCCTGGCTACAGCTGTTCTGGAGCATAACTTAGCAAAAATTCCTCTGTGCTTTGTATCTCAGATCAAACATCTTGCATAGGTATCAACGAAATTAAATTGGAAAAATTGTTCTAATAAATGTGTGAGCAGCCAGATAAACCAAGGTGTGCTGATGAATCTCACACCCTTCTGCATCAAAAGGAGCCATGCAGCCCATTGTTAGTCTTTGCTGAAGGGCACTGCTGCTTTCACAGACAGTTCTTCACTCTGCCTGTTAAGTCATTAATTCATGTTAAAAAAAAAAAAAGTTTATTTTCCTGTGGATTTCTTTGGTTATATCATCCCCACAGAATGAATCAGGATTAATTTTAGGAGTTTCTTGGTACTTAAAGTCACTTGGGACTTCTAGAAAACATCACATTGAGCCCACAGCTTTAACCACACAAATCTGTAGGCATCACTCTCCCGTTTTGATTGTTGCCTCTGTCCCTGTTGCTATAGAAACACATCACACTGCCAAAAATGGAAGGATGATAATCATCTGGAAAAAAAAGAAGAGCTGGGAACACAGCTAATGATTATTTTGAAAGCACTTTTTTGCATTTTAATATTACTCCGTTTTTGTAAGAGAGACAGCCAGAAGCAATCAACGGAAGTGGAAGCAATGCTTTACATTTCAGGAGAAACCTCGAACAGAATTTTCCCCCAATTATCCTTTTAAGTTTTTTAATATCTATATAGGCAAAACAAGCTACATTGCAACAAATAGTTTCTGATCACTGGAAGTGGTGAAGTCCCGCCTGCTAGACTGAAGTGTCAGGGCTTGGTGCCTTTTTCTCTGAATTGCATTCAGAGTTTCTGCTCCTTTTGCCTATAGTCGTGTTCTGCAGAGCATTTTGGGCTTCTGCTTTTAATTTCCGACAGGACCGGCAGTAGCAGGGAGGATGGGTGGGCGCCCATGTCAACTGCTTGTTGACAGTTTGGCACCGGGCAACGGCCGGAGGTGGAGCAAAGCGCACACGGAAAACGCCGCCGTTCCGTTCGCAGTGTACGTTCCCTGCCTTGCCAAAGGCCGTGCGAGCCCAGGCCCGGCTATGGAGCGGCGCCGTGTCGGGCAGGGCTGCGGCGGGCCCGGGCACAGCAGCAGGGACGGATCCAAGGCCGGTAGCCCCGGGAGCTCGGCACCAGCGGGGGCCGCGGCCGCGCCCCGTGGTGGCCGTCCCCGGGTCCGCACAGCCCGGGAGGATCGGCCCGAGCCGCCTTCGGGCGCGGGGCTGCCGGGGGAGCTCGGCCGGCGGTGCTGGATGGCGCTGAGCTGCGAGCCGCTGCCGCAGGACCCTGCCGCAGGTACCGCTCCCACCCAGCGCGGCTCCGGCCGGCACCTCCCCGCTGTGCTTAGGTGCGCTTTCAGCTCTTCCACGGCGGACTTAGCGCACACAAGGGTCAGGCTGTCTTCACTCAACTTTTCCGTTTTAAAACAGAGCCCTCTCTTTCATCTTAGTCCTTTGAAGAGCGTATTAAAAAGGGTACCCGGCCAGCTTCAGTCCTTTACTATATTTACGCACGTTCCATCTCTTAGGGGACAAACCCGAACGCGTGTCTGTTTTTAAGCAGAGAACCGCTCCCGTGGTACCCTGTTGGCAAAAGCGAAGGAGTCGCTGGTGAGGAGAGATGGAGATCCTCCAGCACCTTTTCTGGTTGGACAACGATACTATGAACAGGTTGTGCTTTCTCTCTTTTAAGAAAATATTATAAAGCAGACAATTTTCAACACCTTTTCAGCGAAAAAAAAAAAAAAAAAAAAAGCCTTAAAAAAACTACAAGAGGTGCCCTATGCCTGTTTTTATCCCATTAAAATCACTAAGTTCTTCGCCTAAATAAGCTTTTCCTACATTTTCCCCAAGCATCTAGTGAGGTCTTCCAGTTGCCTCACAAGGTCTCCTAAGGACCAGATAAGTAAGTAGCAGCCTATCCTTACAGCTAACCTCCAAGCCAGGAGCTGCCCAAATACAACACACTTTGTTTTCAGTTAAAGTGAGAGTGAGCCCTGACCAAAACACAGCTTTTGATCTTTGTTCCCCACCTAAGAACTGGAACTTGTAAAAATGTATTATCTTCAAGATCCCTGTCCCTGCTGTCCTAGTGTGACGTTATGGTGTTTGTATCTCCAATCGTGTGTTCTGTTTATGCTTGGTATTATGTCCTGTGCTTTCAGGACTAATCTGAAAGTGAAGGTTTATTTTGTCTTGTTATCAGCCGCCTCACCTCCCCCATGGTCTGTGTTTAGGAGAGGCTTGCTTGCTTGCTTTGCTTGCTTGTTTTGCTCGCTTGCTTTGCTTGAAGCTGAATACCATCTGAGCCTGTTCCGGACGGGGACCTGGGAAACACCAAGGAACACCGGGAGTCCGCATTCTGTCACCTGCAGCAGTCACCCCCAGCGCCAGAGACCGATAACTGGGGGCCACTCACAGGAGAGACTTTCTGAGTTTGTCATCCTTTCAGAGCGGTGAAAGAGTTTTTTGTCATCTGGTGGTGGGTTTTTTTTGTGCTGGGGAGTGGTTTCGTATGTTAAATAAACAGGTTTTTTTCCACTCCTCTCTGAGGAAATTCTTCCCGAACCCGGTGGTAGGGGTAGGAGTCGTGGGGGTTTGTTTTCTGGGGGCTCCTTCTGGAGGTTTTCCCCCAAATTTGCCCTAAACCAGGACACCTGCCCACTTCAGGGAACAGAGTAAGACTGGCTGGCAGGTGAACTTAAACCTGAGCTTCCTGTGATAATTACAACTTAGTTCAGGAAGATGGAAAAGAATGTAGTACAGACACTGCGTCAGGTGTTTTCCAATGTGACATGCACAGATTCAGTACTGTTTACACTGCAGCTGTCGTACCGTGTAAATCAGTCTCACGGTTTGCAGCAGGAACAGAATTAGCTCACTCAGGCTTTCTGCTTTCTGGGCCATGTCCTTAATGTTTTCTTTAATGAATTACCTGAGACTAACTCCATGGAGCTATATGAACAGACTCCTGTTTCTTGACAAGCTGGCTTGGATGTCGATGATAGATATTGCTGTACATCCCTTAATTTATACTTTGAGCAGGTTTTAATTTTCAGATTTTTTTAATATATGTCTGTAGTGCCTAAAAATGCACATGCTCATAGCACTGCACTTTTAGATACTAGAAAAAAAACAACTTCCTAATCACAGCCCTATGTCTCCTTCATATAGCACTACATTCTCATGAAAGGTGAGATTAGATGTGCCTCCTGTACTTCTTTTTCTGATATCCATGACAGCTAATTGTAAAAAGAAACTGACTTTTTTTTTTCCCCAGAGTTCTTTAAAAATACAAAGCCCCCACAGTCATAATGGATAAGCTCCCAAGACCATTAGTAGTTTAAGATAACAGCGTGGACAGTATTAATAGGGGACGGTTGGTCATTGTGAGGACATTTAACTGACAGCTGAAGTGTTGCTCGGTTCTAAGCCTTTGCAATCTTTTTTTTTTTTTAACATACATAAAATTTGAAGTAAAAATATAGAGAAGAACATTTTAATTTCACTATTGTTTTTACTTAGTGTTTATCTGTAAAAATATTTTAGTTAGGACACCAGGCTCAGTTAGCTGTTGTATTATAGTTGTTTAACTGTATTTTTAAATATGGTTTCTTCTCAGACTTAATACAGAAGCAAGTACTCTCTGAGATTCATTTTTAGGAGTGAAAGTGTCTGTTGTTGCAGGTGATACCTCCATAAGAAATGTGTGGCAGACATCTGGGTCCATTAAAGTCTTCAGACATCTGTTTTATTAGTCTTTGTGAAACCAACCCTTAGCAGAGATGTAAAAGCAGAATGTTAAACCCTCGAGGTGTTAGAACACCTGACCTAAGTTAAAGGATGTCAGATACATGGGGCAGGGACTCTGAATTAGACTTTATTTCCTCAAACTAAAAAGATGATGGTTTGTTGGAGGGGAGAAAGCTTTTCAGAATGGCTTTTGGTTACCCAACGTTCTTGTGGTTATTTACTTACTCTGTTTGCCAGTTCTGTGATTGCAACTTTTTGTTCTTTGTTCATGAGAGAAATACTCCAAGTTGAAAAATTGTAAGGTTGTATATATCATAGAGTTACTGTTTGTTTTCTCTTTCCCAGGGGTTGTATAAAGAGGCATTAAAGGAATTTGAAAAAATCAAGGATACATATTTTCAAGCAATGTATCAGCTTGGTGTAATGTATTATGATGGACTTGGCACTAAAAAAGACCCTGTGAGTAATTTAGCTGCACACTTTTTATTTTTCTTCTAATATTAGCTGATAATTATTAGGAGCTCTTTGGAAGCATGATTATTTACTTTAAAATTAACAGCCTTTTCATTTAAAGTTAGTTTCATAAAGTGCAGATGTTTACAGAGCATCATTAAAGAGCAAGGGCTCTGGGTTGAGGAAGTTCTCAAAAAATGGCTATCATAAAATAGGAATAAAAAAAATGCAGTAATTTCTATTTTACAATTAACTTTCAAGGGCTTGGGTGACCTTCATGTGGAAGCTATGTTTAAAAATTGCTTTAAATTTTTTGCTTTTTAATAAGCAATTTCTGTAGATGAAAATAAAATGAGTCAAAATGGAAATCAAGCAACTATATTTCAAAGCATAAGGTCTCTGGCACAAAGATTTTTTAAAGGTGCTTTCTATTCTTTTGGCACAAATGCCAGAGATGATTGTGCTTCTGCCAATGGTTGACAGTAATCTTTTTAAATTAGACACATGAAAAATGACATTTGCAAGATTTTGAAGAATTCAAACTGAAAAATTATATTTTGTAAAAAAGGAAGACAAAGGAATGATTTGCTGCAATAAGGAGGGTTAATTTGTTGGTGAAGATGATCTTAAAAAGTGGCATGAGGAAAGAATACAAATATTAGGCATAAAAGGGTAGATTATAAGACATAAGGCCAAAAAATGAACCAAAGAATATATTAACAAATGAGACTCCTGTCTGGTGCTTACAGTATTGTCAGTATTTCAGAACTGAAAACATACTGATTGGGGTTTAGAGGTGGTTTATTTTTTCTGTATGCCTGCATAATTGCCACATTTGTTTACTTGCAAATAAATATTTTAACAAAGTTTCTTTCTTTCTTGTGTATTACAATATGAAAGTTGAATGAAAGCAAAACCTTTTATAAATGACCATTTTGAGTGTATTTAAACAGGGTGTCCACGCTAAATCCTAACTGTAAGTCTTATTTCTAAAGTACTTCTGAGACCCAATTGCTCATATGCAATATTCTCCATCTGCTTATTTAACATTATCAGGTTTTGTTCTTTATGAGTCTAAAGTATTTTAAATTAAGGGACTTGAAAGTGTACTGTGTATCACTTTGCCATCTTGTTAAGGTTGTTTTATGATTTCAGATACATTGTGCAATGTTAAAAAGTTCTCAGAATTCTGAAATTGAAAATGTTAAAAAGTGTAGGATGTGCCATTAATTTACATAAGCACAATAATATTTTGGGAAAAATTTTGTCAGTGGAGTAATTTATTATCAGATGAACATTTACGAGGAAATGTTTCACACTAAATATATGCTGGGGTCAAAAATTTAGGGGCTGTCTAGTAACCAAAGATCAGTTCTGCTTTGGTATGGCACTGTTTGCCAAGCTGTCCTGCCAGTATGCCTCAGCCTTTCTTCCAAGGGGAAAAAATTACCTGTCTTGCAGAAGTTAGTGCATTCTCAGGTTATATATTTCATCCTTTTCACAGTATGAACATAATAACTTAAAATGGCTCAATTTTAGGAAAGGGGAGTGGAATACATGAATAAAATACTCAACTCTGATTCCCCAGAAGCAAAACACTTGAAGTTTGCAGCGGCATACAATCTTGGCAGGGCTTATTATGAAGGATGTGGTGTTAAGCATTCAACTGAAGAGGCTGAAAGGTAAGGGCAGTCTGTGATTTTCCTGAAATATTATAAGATTGTGAGTTTATTAAACTCTGTTATCCCCATTTTCTTAGGTTGTGGCTTACTGCTGCAGACAATGGAAATCCAAAAGCAAGTATAAAGGCCCAGAGTACTTTAGGAATGCTCTATTCTATGCCAATTCTAAAAGATCTGGAGAAGGTAAAGACCACTTGTACCTTTTAAAATAAAAATTAGTCATGAATAATTTTTTATTTCAGAGAAATAGTACAGTGGTATGTTTGACTTTGAAAGTTGTATTTTAAGTAGTTAGACATTATCATCCATTTAAGCCTGTGTGAACAGATGGCCAGAATTCCTCATTTTGACTCACTTGACACTGCTAGCTAAGATTTTTTTTTTTAGTGAGAGTATCAGAAAGAGTGATAGAATGGATTAAAGTTTTGTCAGCTTTGGTAACGTTCATAATTCAAGCAGGTTACACTGATTGACAGCTCTGACAGTGAATGAAGCAGGTTTGAAAGCCTTACAAGGATTCTTCTTTCCTTTATATTTAAGCACTTCTTACAGGATGGTTGGTGTAAAAGCTTTTATGGAAACAGTATACAAAAAGATCAGCTAAGTAGATATATACTCCAACTTTATGCCCCTTGTTTAGGCCTTTTTCTGGCATTCAGAAGCATGTGACAATGGAAATCTGGAATCACAGGCAGCACTTGGCATTATGTATCTCTATGGAAAAGGTACATGTCAAAACACTAAAGCTGCTTTGGAGTGTTTGAGAAAAGCAGCAGAACTTGGAAACATCTATGCCCAAGGCCATCTTGTGGAATATTACTACACTAGAAAATTTTACTCAAAAGCTGCTGCACTAGCCAAAAGGTAATTTTTGTTTTATTTTTCGTTAGGGTTCTTCATTAAGACCACATAAAACAGATTTAAATTATTAATAATATGATGATCTTGTCTTTTGAACTAAAGAAATATTTGAGAATGAATTGCAAAACATCTTTAACAACAGAATAGCCAATGACGAAATTAATACTATAAGATTCCCAATTACTCAGTATGATTGAACTTTTCCTTCTGATCCTATAAAGCAAAACAGCCTTGAACTAGAATACAAAGCAGATGCCCACATGCAATCCTGCCTTCCTTGTCCACTATCCCCTCTAGGCTCCTGTGTTCACCATTCCCTTTAACCCCTACAATCATAGTGTCAAAGAAACCCCGGGTTGGAAGGGATCTCTGTGACCATCTGGAGTGATCTTTCTTGGGAAAAGCACACTCCAGACACAATGGCCCAGTACCCTGTCCAGCTAAATCTAAAAGGTGTACAAGGCCATTGAATCCACCGCTTCCCTTTACCTGCTTTTCCATCTTTGGTATGCTTCTCCCGTGGTTTTTAGGAGGCTCAGAAACTTGGAGTTAAGCCAAGGGGGTCCCTTGCTCCACCCACTTTCCTTACCTTTAAAGGGCATAAACAAACACTTCATTGTGCTTCCGGGAGAGCATTAATGAAAAATTCCCAGCACTCACTAGCTCCTTTATTTTCCATGGAAGCTTCCTATGGAGACCCTCCCAACTGTGCTGTGAGCTGAAGTTTACTATTCTGAAATCCAAAACCTTTGTGTTAGTACTAACCCTCAGAGTGCTCAGCAGGGTCCCAGATCCTCAATTGTCACCGGTGGGTTCTCGGGTCCCCTTGGGATCCCCGAGACTGCCAAAGCAGTCCTCAGCAACAGGGCACACTTCCAAGCCTTGTCTGGACAGAATTTGGCTCATAGCTCACCCTCAAGCCAGCAGAGTGAAGAGATTGGAACATGGAGAGAGGAGCAATTCCATAGTTTATTCTGTGAAGGTATCCAGTCTAGCATATTCAATGGTTGGGGTTTTTTAGGGGTTTTTATATCTTTTGAGGGTTTTACATTTTGCACCAATTACCAAGGGAATTCTACATTCTAACCAATCCACAAAGGATTTTATCATTCAAAACTAGCCTATAGATACTAAAGGAAAATGAACCACTAATATTACAGATAGATAACAGGGGGTCCACTAATGGGGGTTTGAATTCCTTTTTGAATTTGTCATTTAACAAGCAGTTTTTTATCTTTAAGCTATGGTTTTCCATGGGGCCTTTTCTGGGGACACAGAGAGACTCTCTGCTTTATGAACGTTTTTTGCTCCCTCCACACTCAATATAGTGATCACTGCACCCAAGGCTATCACTCACTGCTTTCCTTTATTTGTGAGTAGCAGATCAAGCACTGATTAGCACACTGACATTTGGTTGAGGCAGCAATACTCCACTGCTTCTTTCCTGGAACTTCATGGATGTCCTGGGAGTTGCTGTATTCTTCTTGCATCTAATGCCTGGATAGTTCAAGTCACCCATAAGATCCAGATTCTGTTACCCAAAGCCTACTTAAGTGACCCAAGTATTGTCTTGTTGGTCTTACTGTCTTGATTCAGAGGTCAGTAACAGATGCCCAGTGTAAGATTGCTCTTGAGATGATCCCTTTGATCCTGACCTAGAGGCATTCAGTAAGGCTTCCAAAATTTCCATAGTTAACTTCTCCACATTCAGGGTTCTTCTTAACTCAGAGCATGACTCCTCCTCTTTTTCTGTCTTTACAAAATAGCCAATCCATCCATCACAATCCTCCTGTCGTGAGTTGTTCCACCATGCTTCAGTTATTCCTAAAATTGTGTGACTTTGAGTGGGTGCGGAGCTCCAGTTCCTCCTGTTTGGTCCCCAGGCTGTGTGCACTGTACACACACACTTGCTGTGGTTGTCTTCTGGTCCTCATCCTGGGAAGAAGCTAAGGAACATTAGCTGCTGCTGTGGTTGGCCTGGCTTATTCCCCAGTTGTTGCAATATGGCACAAGTGCCACCACTTCAGGTCCACTTCTGTATCTTAAACTAGTCAAGTAGGACAAGAACAATATTGGCACAACGTTCTGTGGAAGATAAACAGCACATTTCTGTGACAAACCTCCAGGGTTTACCAGTGTACTGCTAAAAGTTCACTCTGTCACTCAGATTATTGATTTGCTGGAAATAAGATGCAGATAGAATGACCGTTTGCACAAATGGCATGTAACATTCACGCTTTTTGGGGTATGGCTGCTGCTGCACAGCAGTAAACATGGCACAGTTACCATCTTACAGAAGCTGCACTTGATGCACTATATGCCACTGCATAGCAGAAGCTCTGGTAATTCAGTAGTTCAGCTATGGATGCTGTTTGCTCTACTCCATGCTAAGAAGGAGTAGAGCAAATTGTTTCTGAACTACTGCTTTTCTTTCTTTTGGACTGTCAATAGAGCGACAGCTGTTCAGTCTGGTCCAGCCTACCTCCCTTGGAATGAATCCCCTCCAGTCAATGCTGCATGGTAGATTGTCCAGACAAATAAAGAGTGTACTTCATCAGCTGCAATTGTGATTGCAGAAAATAGCAATGAAATACCACAGTACTGTCAGAGGTGACCATTTCTGAAATAAAATACTGCAACCATACTTGAGACAGTTCCACTTAATTAGAATTGAAGTCAACCTTGAGGCAAAAATCTCAGCAGTTCAGCCAGTAGTATCAAGCACCAATACCTTTTCTGCTAAAATTTGTCCTTCTATGTTCATAGCAACTACATTTGTTACATTATATACAAGCATAAAACATTATGTGACTATGTACAGTATAAGCTTGCCTAATATTTGGAGTCTATATTACTTACTGATACTTCACTTCAAATCATTTAGGTGTGTCACACAGTTGTACTTACCAACTGCTGTGGTATGTTCTTGAAGTCAGCTGTGCTGAAATAGAATTTTTGCCTGACTTGACTGGGTATCTTATTTGCATCAGCATTCTGTAGATTATCTTTTGAAAAGGAAGGGAAAAATGTTATGTATGAGGAATAGCAAGAGGTAATGTGTTACTGTTGTTTTATTTGAATGTTCTTGCTAAATAAGAACAGTTGTGTTACTGTATTTGTTAACGGGACCAAATTAGGTGGAAGAACATCATTCTCAACACATCCAAGTGATCTAGCAGGCACTGAAATGCAGAGGGTCATTGAGAACAATCTTTCATAAACTCTGATATATAGGAAGTACCTAGAAACTGAAATCACTTGCACTCTTCCTTCTTCTGTCAAGTCTGCGACTTTGACAGAGCTAAAATGATGTGTAAAGAAGCATATAATTACTGTTTGTTACCTGGAAAGGATATGGGGCTTGGGGGTATCTGTTTTAAGATAACAGAAAAAAATCAATTCCCACTTAGGTGTAGCATTTTCTAATATTATAGCGATTATACTGGATAATTATAGCTTGATAATTAAAACAACATCCCTCTGATTCTTGAAATAGTTCTTAGTAAAAACATGCTGAAACTACAATGACAAGCATGCATGCAGAAGAAAGAAAATAATTGAGCTGAGACAGCAGTAAGTGGTTTTCCTAACAGAGTTTTATAACCGGGGGTCTCAATACGTCCAAAATTTTCTGATTACTATGATTTGCCAATATCCTTGTAAGAACTGGAAATTTTAGAATCACAGAATCACAGAACGGTTTGGGTTGGCTCTTTAAAGATCGTTTAGTTCCAGTCTCTGTGCTGAGGTTGCTCATGTAGTGAAGTAAGATGAAATAAGAGCTACTTGAAATACTACATGAAATAAGAGCTTTGCTTTCCTTCCACATATAATTTCCATAAAATAATTTAATGGGAACAATTAGCATAAAATATGTTGCCTTTTATAACTAGTATAACTGTAGTGAAAGTGACTTCAAAAGTTGTATACTTGTTTGCTATTTAATATCGCAATATTCAAATAAGACTAACTTAAAACCAAATACAAAATAGAAGAATCCTCATAAGATGCCGAATATATGTAAATTTCAGCTTATTTTGGATAACAGTGTAAACGGAAAGGAGGCATTGTTGAAGTCACATGTGGTCAACTTTAATTATTGCTTGAACTAGCACTATCTAATGTCATGCTCTCAATTCCACAACAGGGCTACGGAAAATGATGACAACATGCTAGCCAAGATAACTGATTGCCATCCAACATATGTAGCCCAGGGGGCTGCTATGGCTGCTTTCTACTTGGCTAGATGCCTCCAGCTTGGCCGAGGCATAAAGAAAAACCAGCGTGCTGCTGAGATGTACTATTCTAAAGTAAGTTAAGAAAGTCTTACAGACTAGTTTATATCTCCTGAAATGGAGTGATACTTGAATCTGAGTCTAGTCTAAACTTGCTATTTCATTAAGGACTCCAACACTATATTGAAAAAAATATTTGCATGAAAGCATGGAGTGTGGATTGCTTGTTGTTGCAAGACAAATTAGCTAAACAATTTTAATAATTTTATCTCAAATTAATTTGCTTTGTCATTCTCTCACAACTGAAAAATCGTAACTTCCATATACTTTAGATTCTGTAACAATTACAACCTTTATTAACAATACTTAAACTGGCCATAACTGGTTCTCATGCTTATTTTTATATTTACATTTTCCATGATAGCTGAGGATCTACTGGTTTTCTGTTCAATATACACAGGGGGAAAAATCTGTTACATTTTTTTCAAAGTTTTACATTTGGAGTAAGATTGATGAAAAGTAAGCTTGAGGAAAAATACTAATAATGGCCTCTAGAAGATTAATACGTTGAGTAATATCAGTGATGCCTAAAGGCATCAAGACAAGGTAATTATACCAGCTGAAGGCAGTATAGCAAGTTGGCATTTGTGCTTCAGAGACTGTATGGTTTCTGTGCATGTAGTGACCATTTATTTCTGCAAGTAGAATGCTTTGGTGCCCATCTTGGTGCAATCTAAATCAATGGAGTTATGTAAATGATAAATTATCAAACCATTTTTATGGCTCTTTACTTGTGGAAGTCACTGATAGAAAAGGCTTAGCAGAGCAGGTGATCTGAATACAGACATTTTAAATATTTTGTTCTTCCACTGTGAAAAATGCTATAGAGGATAGGATGAGGAAGAGATCAGCAGAGGAACAGAAGCTGAGGTATTATGCCCATTGTTGCCACTATTCCTAGTTAAGGCATTGAAGGGGTCCATCAGGATTAAATGGCTGCATGGCTTTGTAGGAGTGCAGCCCTTCCCCCTGTCTTCTAAAGTGTAGTAAAACTGCCACAACTGAACGAAGTCTACAACTTTCACTCATTATTCACTTGCTGTATGCCTGAGACTGATCTAGAGATGTCACTAATGTCTTGCTAGAAAGAGATAGTTCCTATGACTGGTGTCATGTGTCCCCAAATCAATAGCAAAAGAAAAGCAACATAAAATAAACAAGGAAGCTCCCTGAAACAGCAACTTCAAAAGAGTTGTGGGGGTGTCCATGTTTTTTTTTTAACCTGGAAAATTCTCATATTAACTGTACAATTACGCCTACTTAAAGTCATGTTTGTTTTAATTGACTGCTCAGCTCTGGTTTTGGCCTACCATTCTTACACCAAGTCAGTTTTGTAAGAGATGAGAAAGAGAATATAGGCATCCCTAAGGGTCCTGAAATAGATGATGAATGTGAGTGAAACTCATCCAGTCTGTAAGCAGATTTATTTTTCCAACTGTGGTGCTGCATATGCCATGCCAACACACAGAATTAAAAACCCAAGACTAACACTATAGTCCAGTATGCGAATTTAAATACTATTTTTTTTATTATGTGGCATCAGAAAAAGGATTCAAATCCAAATATGTTAATTCTTCAATACTTAAACAAGTTGGCTTAGTTTTTTTGACACTTAGAGACTTACTAGTGTCATATTGATAACATACAATTTTATTGTAGCTATAAACCAGAACTCTGATATTCTTTGTTTTTAAAGGCATGCAATCTGGATCCTGGTGTTTCTTCTCACCTTGAATTGGCAGCTAATCTTGGGACAATTTAGTGTTTCTTTTAACTGGTGTATAAATATATTTCCTGCAATAAACCGTCATTAATCTTCAGCAATTATAGACTGTTCCTCACTTACTGCTTGCTTTACAACTTTCTATAAATTATTATTTAAAGCAATTCACTGATTCATTTTATATAAAATAAAGAGACAGTAAAAAGCTCACACTCTCTAACTCAGATGAAGCCAAGACAGATTTTTTAAAAATCATATTGAAGACTTAAAGGTTTATTAAGGACATTTCACTGGGATAGATGTATTTTCTTCATGTCATATTGCTACATAGCACATGAATCATAACAAAACCAAATAAAGACGGTTGTTGCCATTTTGCATATATACTATTTAAATTTTAATATTCTGAAAAGCTTGAACCCAAACTTGTCTCATTTTCACATACAGCCTACTCACAGGCCACGGCCATTTTTAAAGTTTAACTTGTAAGTGGGGTTTATATTTTCTTCCACATACTTTCTAAAGCATCTAGATTTACTTAAGAGTAAATGACAAGAGTAAATTAAAAAGAGATGCATTTTGCAGAGACTCAGAGTTGGAAACTGACCAGTAGAACACCAAGCTTTACAGTTCAAACCGTACCAGCTTCTAAAACTAATAAATACTTACAGAACTGTGGGGAAAAAGCCCCAAACATACATCCTCAGGACAAGGCCTGTTTTCCTCAATCCTTCATATTGCATTCACACTGCCTCCGTATTAGAAATAGTTGGAAATCTTCTGGCTAGGAGTATGTATATCTGAGCAATGTCAAGCTGGATCTTTTATCAAAAGATACTTGGATTAACCACTAGAAAAACTTACTGATTGCTATGATAAGCTTGCACATTTCTAAATGCCTGTTTACTTATGAAGCTTTGTAAGTGCAGAATTTGCCTTGCTTCTTAGGACTGTGCCATGACTTGAAAACTTTTCCCAAACTGTTGGAACAGAAGGCTAGATGTTACTAAAAATGTTGATTTAAATAGATCATGCAGACTGTAGGTACCTTACAATACAGCCAATCATAACTGGAAGTAGTTTTTCTAAGAGCACAACTGTACCGAGTTAAGAAGACAGTAATGAGTGTCAGTTAGGGATTTTTGATGATGTTTAATTATTTAGATGTGCATTAACATCATATTTACATGTTTTTACATAAATTTTTTAAAAAAACAACCACTGAAGACAGTTTTCTTTCCTTGTATAAAATAAGAGAAAGATTTGAAGGTTATTTGAAATGGGGGCATTTGAATAAAACAGCCCTGAATAATATCAGGGAAGATATCAGAATGGTTTAATTCAATGTCTACTTGATCATTCATAGAAGCAATTCATAAGCACTAATCTCTGAACTAACATTTAGCACAGGCATTCTGTTAGGACATACCAGTTACAATACATAATTTTGACACAGACTTCAAAGCAATGTAGATATTTCTTATGAAACTAGTGCTGTCAAATTCATTGATCCGTTGTCAGTACAGCCTCGTTATGAAGTGCTGCAATCCAGTTGTGATATTTATTGCTTACAAATGCTTCAAACTACAGGAAATCTTTGGTAAAACCAAAATTGATAAAATTTTCACAATAGCTTTACATGTAGTATTGCACGACAAGGCTTTTTCAATACACAAGAGAAAAAAAGGAATGCTCAGATCCTCAGTGAGGAGATTAGAACTGTACAACATTCAGTATTTTACCACTATAAGCAAAATTTCTTTCCATAAATGTTTAAAATATCTTCTGGTTTCTTTCAGCATATATGAACATTTATTTTTCAATCTATATTTGAAACAGAGTAGTCAAATAGAACAATTTAAATAAAAATTGGCAGCTATATAGCATTTTTTTGTCTACCCTACGACAGCATCAGATCTTTTCAAGTCTGTTTACTTCACAAAAAACTCAAGAGGAAAGAAAAATGCTAAAAATAATCATAGTCCTCAGCCCTCTATGGAAAAGAGGAAAATAAGTTTAATGTCTATTCTTGAATATAGACATTTCTCTAGTGGTCCAATTGTGCAGATTCAAACCTAAGTGGCATTAAGCTGCTCTAAATGAGCTCTCAGCTCAGGACACAGTTCAGTTAGCAGCAGTTCCAGCAAAACCTGAAAAACAGAAAAGAGTTAAGATGATGCAGGTACCAACCAAATAAGAGTTTCTTCTTCCTTTCTGTCATTTTTAGATAATCACAAATAACAGAAGCACATAGGTTTTATGACATTCATCATTCATGAAACTACTTTTCTTTCATCCAGAAGTTTGCACATGCCCTACAGATAACATGGGAAATGTCTTAATGCTGAAGGGAGGCAAGTGTTAAGGGCAGCTCCATTCAGATGGGGATTTCCCACCCACTATAAACTGGTGCTGTTCTGTCAGACTCCATAGCATCATAAGCAAGCACCAGGGCATGCACCTTCTCTCCACTGCTGGGGCAGCACTGTGAGAGAGGCTGCTGTCTGGAATGTGCCAGAAGAGACTGACTGACTGTGAAGGTGTTATACTTAGATCCAGCTGCATATTCCGACTAGTCCCAACAGTTGAGGAATAGAACTTTTGGAGGGCTGTCATGTCCTATGAGCCTGTCCTAGAGCTATTCCTCAGAGTTCTCCAGGGTGTGTTTATTTCTCTAAGCTGTATGAAGAAATCAGTTTTTTTACCTTGTGAAGTCAGGCACATTGGATGTGGTAGAGGATCTCTTTTAGACAAAAACAATGCTGCTGTTAAACAGTCTTTTGTTATTCAAACTTAGTCAAATGATCAAACCTAGAGCATCTAACTTATTTTAATAGTAAATTAATCTCTGCAAAAACACACCCCCTAGGCTTTAATACTGAATGAGTAGAGCTTAGTAACTAACAGGATTATGAAGTTAAAAAGCTGCTTTTCTGGTTACTCACATAAAGTAGATGCTTATTAGCCTTCCTCTCTTGCAACGCATTGAACACTTTCACTACACCATGACGGGCATTTTGTTGTCCAACGAGATTCTGCAGAGTATCTGCAACAAACATTACTTCAGTTTATATTGCTTCACTCATTCTAGGCAAAACCTCCAGCTAGAATCACAGAATCATCATTCTACTACCCAAAATCACAATCATCAAGGTTGGAAGAGACCTTCAGGATCATCTAGATCAACCATAAAGACCCATAAAGGAAGGGAAGCAAAGCCACTGCACTTCATTGGCCCTTGGCCACAAGATATGCACAGTCTCTACTCACTAACCTTTTAAAAACACAGCTTGAAAAGATACCCTTATTCTCAAGTTACCCAACAGATAATAGTGCGTGCATCTCAGAACATTTTAAGTGTTCTGACATGATACATCAAATTCCTTTTCAGTAGTTCACCTGAGTCAAGTCTCATCTCACACATTAAACCGTTCACTTAAATACACCTTCAGCCACAAAGACACGATTTCTACAACATGTAAAACAAATTTAGTACTTGAATTGCCTCTCAATCTTCACAGATAATACTTCCCACAAGAAGGCAGTTAAGATTATTCTAAGTCAATTATGTATATTTTGGATTAAATTAGAGAATAAATAGTACTTCAATGCTCCATCATTAATCTAAGGTGCATTCAGCTATATCCTGACATATGGCTCCAAGCTCAGAAACCCACAAAGAGAAAATCAAACAATAACACAAACCAGCTATGGAAGGCTGTTAAGGTTAAGTAGATCAGTATGTTACACAGGGAGTAAATGGAGGGTTGTTTACACGTCAAATGACAAATATTTTGCATGCATACCTACACCTTTTCTGCACTAAAAGTTGATTAAGCTACCTAATGCATGGGGGTATATGAGGTATCTAAGTGAAGCCACAAAATAGCTCATTCTCTCTAAGTGCTAAAGATGATGATTTTGATTCTTTTCAGTTAGGTGCCTTTGGGTTTACATGATCTCCGAGTCGTCAGGAATATGTAACTGGATTTCCTGTCCTGAATGGGACAGAATGGAGCATCTCAGAAACATGCTTGCTGAAAACACAGCTGCCCAGACTTGGGAGATAAGGGTAGGCAAAGCAAAGTACTGAAAAAAACACTCCATCTAGGATCTTCTTCTGCCCAGGCTGCAGGTCACTCTCACATTCAGTGCCCTGAGACCTCTTATCAGAAATAGACAACATACAACATTGACAGCTGGGTAGATCCCTCTCTCTCCCCAGCTTCAAAATATGAGGAAGAAGTCATTGAAGTGGTGCCACTCTCCCTATTTGGCAAGTAATTCCAAGTAGCAGAACCACATATTTGGTCACAGAGAACCAGCAGAGAGAGAGTTGACTGAGGTTCCTTGATGAATACTATGCACAGAAACACAGCAATTTTGATTTTGCATCCACCAATAATATCGAAATCCACGCCTGTTACCAGACAGGCAAGAGAGGCAAAGACTAAGACCAAAATCATCCTTGTTTATGCAAATAGCCATAATTTAGAACTCTACAGGAAAATAATTTGATTAACCAGTTTCCTTAGTAGTTACAAAATCTGTGATTAAGCAGAATCAAAGTGATCTCACCTGGAATGTTTTCAAGTAGTTTTTGCTGTGCTCTCTGTTTTGTCTCCTGCTTTTGTTCATCACTCTTGGCTCTCGGTGGTGGAGCTAACTTTCCGTTTGGCCAAAAAGCATCTCGAAACACACCAATGTAATAAACAAGCATTGGTTCACTGAACATCCAATGTACAGTGTCACGGATTTGCCTGTAAAGAAGCATAGAAGGGAGCCCATCAGAGCTAGTCTTTCATGTTTTATCCAGATTTACTCTTTTTACTCCTTGAAGTAGTGGAAGAGATATTCTTTTTCATATACTTTTGCCAGTATACCTAAGTTGATTTCATTGGCATCACAGCAGGTCATATTCAGCTCTGGGTGCTCTAGGATCTAAGTCACTCCAGATACTTGACTTAGATCTGGAGAAGGCTGCTTTTCAATGTAATCCACAAACATACATTACAAATTACAAGTACTACACTGAAATATGCATCAAAACTACATTTCAAGATGGGCACTACAAAGGCTCCGCCAGGAAATGTCAGGAAAATTAGGTAACTAATTGTAGCAAACTCCAAACCAGTTGCCTGCAGAGGTGATCCTGCTAGGATAAAAATAGACAGTTT